ATCTAACTTTGGTAGCGGAGCTAATTGCTCCTTCGCTTCGCTCGACTCAGGTATTGCCACGCCAGCTTCTTCGTTCGTACTGGAAGCCTAGCACAGCATTCGTTTGCATCTTTGACTTTGTCTTTGGCACTTGCTCTACACTATCTCTACTACGACCACTTGAACTTCCACTTCCCTACACTTCACGAGATGGCAGATAGCTCACTATCGTCACAGCTCCCACTTCAGTCTTATAGCAAAGATGTCCCTCCTGGCTGGAAACCACGTTCGTACAGCATTGCCAAGTGGAAAGAACTCTTGGCCATTTGGTTGAGGTTGACCCGACTTGACCCAGAACAACTTGGTGCTGCTATCATCAGCCGTTTGGAAGGCCCTGCGTGGCAGACAGCCATGAACCTGGAAATAGTCCGTCAGGTGCAGCAGCCAAATGGCACCATCGTGCCGATTACTTACCGTGGCGTTGAAGCCGCATGCCTTGCAGAGACAACAGCCATCATGAATCCTGCCACTGGAGTTATGGTTGTTCCAGCCTATCCTCCTGGAGCAAAGAGCTTGGTTGATCATTTGATGACGCAGTTCTACATGAACGACCAGGATCGAGCATGGAGCTCTCTTGATGCCTTCTTTTCCACTCGCCAGCAACCTGGTGAACCTTTTGATGAGTTTTGCTCTCGCTGGGAACGTCTATTCACAGAAGCATGCACTAATGCTAATCTTCAGATCAACGCAGTTTGCCAAGGATACCTCCTCTTCTCGCAGAGCACCCTGAGTGATCAACAGATCACGGACCTGCGCCTTCGAGTTGATGGAGACCTTAGCCGCTTCAGAGAGATGGTCACCTTGCAATCTCGCCTCAGCCGAAGCCAGGAAGTGATTCGAGACCAAGCGCAAGGATACCGTCAGTTTGGAGGCCCAGGTACATACCACCTTCAGGAAAACACTCCTGAGTCAGATGATTGGTATGACTGGTGGTTTGATGATGACTATGATCCCTATCACCATGACTATGACTTGTACAATGAAGATGACTGGTGGTATACTGATGATTGGTCTCCCTGGCCTTCTGAACAGACAAATGAGGAAGCTTCAGCATATGCTCCTGCTCCAACGCCTTCCTCTCCGACTACTACCACTGAAGACTTCTATGGCGGCAAGGGCAACAAAGGAAAAGGCAAGAAAGGCAAGTCCAAACAGCCTGCAGGATCCCAGCGCACCAACTGTGGGTCCAAATTTCACCGACCTGAGGATTGTCCTATGGCACCACCATCTGTTGACAGCTCATCGATGCAGCATGCCGCCAACCATCATGATCCTTGGTCAGAGCATTGGCAAGAAGATTACTATGGCGGAAAAGGCAAGAGCTCCTATCGTCCTCGAGGCTTTGCTCCACGAGGCGTCCAGATGCCACATCGAAAAGGTAAGGGAAGAGCAAGGGCAAGAGCAAGTCCTATGGCAAGTCCTTCGGAAAGAAAGGTCGTGGAAAAGGAAAAGGTCGAAAAGGAAAGGGCTTCTATGAATACAACTGGGATGATTACGATGTTGGGTACTTCGCCTCTCCTACCACATCCGTTGAGAATCCTGTGAGCATGTCCAAGCTCAACGACGATGATGCAGTTCTCACTCTCATGGAAGGTGAATATCCATATCCTGATGAAGGTGACTCTCCCGGCTATGCTGCAACTGGCTCTCCTTCTTCTTCGCCTACTACCAGACGCAGGCAGCCAGACTCCGCTGAGCCACTGCGGAAGAAGCAAATTCGCAGTGTGATTGGTTCGATCTATGGGCCATCAGCCAGCTCCACTGCACTCGTACCTCATGATTCACAACAGTTGCCAGCCGAACAACGACCATATCCCAGTACTGCTTTGCAATGACCTGTACCTGTGCAACGACAACCCATTCAGGAACATGACCTGATAGACTCCTGCTACAGTACAACCCTCTGCAACTTCTACTTCCAAGCTCAGCAAGACGGGTCTCACGATGTTTGATGATTCTTCAGGCACTTCAGCACCTCCACCTCTTGGTCTCTTTGCCATTCCGAGCTCTTTCTTGACAGCTTGCGCCTTATGAGTGCCAGCGAGACCTTCCCACTGTTCAGACGCAATACTACTGCCTGAATTGCAACATCCAGCTTTGCCATGAATGCCATGGAAGACATGGCTGCTCGCTCTCCTCTGATGCCAGTTGGTCCAGAGTTTCCTATACACCGCCACAGTCATCACCATCACCTGCTCCAGCACCACCACCAAGTTCAAGCACTACTCCTCCGGAAGCACCGCCTTCACCTGATCCATTACATCCTCCAAGCACAACGACTACTCCTGTCGTTGGTTCTTCATATCTTGATCAGCTCGATGACTATGAGGATCATGAGAATCCCGCTGAGACTCTACTCAGCATGGAAGAACTCAACTCAGCAGAAGCTACTTTGACCACCACCGCTTCAACGTCCACCGCACCAGACACGACATGTTCTACAACATCTTACTCCATCTTCCAGTCAGTCCATGGCACTCAGCGCTATGGCCTTATTGTGGATCCTGGAGCAGCAAAAGGACTCATGGGCGATCGGACTTTCCAAAAGATCAAGCAGTTCGTCCTCACTCCACGAGGCCTGCACCGAGGAGCACCAGCAAGCACAAGTTCACGGGCGTCAGCAAGAAAGTTGAACGCTCTCTTGGTCTCTTGACCTTTCCTCTTGGACTACAAGGAATACCAAATGCTCAGTTCACCACTGACGTCATTCCAGGTGATTGTTCAGGCTACGGAGCACCCTTTTGACTGACTACTTTGCAAATGGCAATGGATTGCTCATTCTCTCCGTGTTTGGCTTCCACAGGTCCTTGAACTGACGGACTCAGGTCACTACCTCCTAGCCATTGACAAGTTTGATGAGAGCATTCCACGTTCTTTGCTCTACAAGAGTCGCAAGCTGACGCAGCACCTTGCTGACGGACCTGGTCAAGGTCGCGAGACATCCATTGACTTCTTCACCACCTACGTTGTGCACTTGCTCCAAGACGAAGACCCAGAGGATGATCTGATTTTTCAGTGAGTCCTGAGCACGACGTTAAAAGGCTAGAGCCATCCAATTCCACTACCATTTCTACCACAACATCCTCTACAACTATCACGTCCTCACAATGCAAGATGCCAAATGAGAATGCCGACATAGAGCATTCACCTGTTAATGTTGGCTCACCTCGCTCCTCCTGGATGCTGCTGGGCTCAGCGAGTCATCTGCAACAGAAACTCTTTGCCCGTTGGAACACCATTGAGGGCTACTGATGGACAAATGAGCTAGACTTGTTGCCAGCTTGTCTCAGCGCGACTGAAAGGGCAACAGCTTTGGAGGAGATGCATGCCATACCAGAATTCTTCTATCGCAGCACTCAGCTGCCAGTGATCACGCCACAGAATATCAACCAGTTCTATGCGGCCTTAGGCACTTGGACTACTGAGCCAATTTCACTTCTTGCACGTTTTCTGGTTCTTCCAGATTGGCTTTGACTGCATCACGTGTGCCGTTCTCCTTGTTGATTTTGCCACCGATTGACCTTCGCTATGGATGGCATTTGGGTCACAAGCCCCATCAGCAGCTTCTCCGCGAGTTCATCTTCAGGACAAAGCCCAGCTTTGTGAGCGGAGAGCCTCGCTGCAAATATTGGTCACGCTCTGGTGTCCGGCGTGACAAAGCTGTCACAGGGCAACGAAGACAAGAAGAGAGACCATCCATTGACTTCAATACTGAAGTGATGCATCATCAAGTACAGGAAGGACGACACGGCATCGTAGAGAACCCAAGGCCTTCAGAGCTCTGGCATCAAACATCCACCCAGAGTCTGATGGCAAGTCAGCATTTTGCTGCTTACTTCACTGACCAGTGCTGTTTCTCAACAGGTGTCCCAGATGGAGAACGTTCCAGAAAACAAACGACATTGCTAGCCTCCTTTGAGCTTTGGCATGCTCGCAAACGCTGTAAGTGCTCCAAAGGACACATCCTGCTTCAAGGAAAGTGTGAAGATGGCAAAACCAATCGAACTGCGAAAGCGGCACTCTTTCCTTACCGTTTGTGCCAAGCCATTGCGCAAGACATGATGAACTCCTGCGACACCACCTGGTTCCACAGCACAACAAAACAAGATGATTTGACGAAGCAGTACAACAAGCAAAGCCACCAAGCACACAACAACACTGCATATCCAGCTACACCGCTACCTCCAGCGCAAATCCACGTCCACAGCAATTGGCAGGGTGACCAAAATGCTGACGATGCTGCCCAGAGTGCCCAGCATAACCGGCACCTTGACGGGCCAAAACCAGATATATCAGAAATATCTGCTTTTTTCACCTGGTTTCGGGCCTTCTTCCAGTGAGCCAGCTGCCTTAGATACAGTCTATGTTCTGCCACCAGGTTTAGAACCTGCTCGAACCAGTGCAATTCCTTTGATTCCAGCAGCCGCTTCTTTAGTCCTTTGCGGCAACATGTCTCTCATCAATCCTGACTTGGAGAGCCATTTCAATGAGTCTCTCCAGCACTTATTTGAGGACATCAGTGACTGCTACAAGAACACAGCTGGATCACTTCTACTGGTTCCGTCAGAGACAATGCCAGATTCTGCACGATTACTTCATGGCATCCATGACGTGCATGAAGCTTTGGCGAAAGGCATGAAAATTGAATGCCTACAGATCCACATCAACTACAACGACTTGCCGATGACTCTCGATGCCACTGTCACTGAAGACTACTACTGTCTTCTATGTGTCCTGGAGGAAGATTGCAAGCACGTCAACTTGCATCTGTTGTCTTTGAAACACGTGCCACAGCAACAACTTCAACAACGTCCAGTTGTTCTATGCGCGGGACGCCTCACTGAACTTGGCGCTATCAGCGCAGGCATCTTCCCAGCAAAGACGAAGACCACTCCTATCAGCAGCACTCCACATCGACCACTACATCCATCCTCTCTCAGGATTGTGGAGGACATACGAGTCAGTGCAGAGCGAGAGCCAATCAAGCCTTCGCAGGACTTCAAAGATTTTCCTCGTCGGCTGCTTCATGCAGACAGAAAGGAGCGAACACGCCTTCTTGTCGGACTACATCAACGCTTCTATCACTGTGGCGTGACGGACATGATCCGTTTGCTCAACGCCATGCTTCTTCCACGGGATGTCATACAGCAAGGAATTGAGGTGTGCCAGCAATGCAGTGATTGCCATTGCCAGCGTTATGCCAACAAAGCTCCGAGACCTCAGCTTCGTGGCTATGTTGCAGTCCAGTTCAATGAATATGTCCTGATGGATCTCTTCTTCCTTTGGTCACAGCCTTTCATTCTTCTCATCGACCACTGTACCCATTGGAAGACTGGCTGCCATTTGCCCAACAAGCAAGCCTCGTCTCTGCTTCAAGCACTGATGTCACAATGGATCCGTGTTTGGGGCCCTATGCACACACTCTGCTCAGACCAAGAAGGAGGTCTATCAAGCTCTGAGGCAACTGTCTTTTGTGAGCGTTTGGGCATCACCAGGACCTTTGTCGGAACATCAGCCTATCATTCAAAAGGGCTTGTTGAAAGACACGTCGCTCTCACCAAGCATTCCATGATGATCTTGAAGAGCACCTCCACCAAGGAAGGATTGCACCTCAGCTATGATGACTTGATCCATGAGGTGACGATAAGTCAAAATATGTTGCTTGAGAAAGGCGGTGTCACTCCACAAACCGCTGTCACAGGAATCAATCCACGAGAGTTCTGGCAGATGGACAATGAACAACTACAAGCACACACTGGAGCCTTAGATGTGAAGGCTGACTTTGCTGAACAAGCCATTCGAGGTCGTCTTCTTGCCAAGCAAGCAATTCTTGAAGCCGTTGTTGGAGAACGCTTGGCTATCGCTCGAAGAACAAAGCAGCAAAAGCATGATCTCAGTCTCCTCATTGCAGGCATGGCCATTGACATCTATCGGCAACCTCATCGGAAAGATGACTTCGGTTGGCATGGCCCAGCAGAACTGGTCTCTGTCAACAGACACTCAGGCACTGCCATCGTTGTACACCAAGGTCAACCACTCGTTCTTCCGTTGAACCACATCCGCAAGCATGTAGCGTTGGATTACTTCATCCACTACTACACGAGTGACACACACATCATGGACTACGACCCGCGTGGTTGCAACGAGACCTATGCAGCCGATGAAATTTTTCACCCAGCACGACTACAAACAACTTCAACAGCTGGTTGACTCCATGCCTCCTGGCAAATGCATATGGATTGGCTACAAGGTGAGGGAAGACCAGACTTCCTACAACATCCTCTATGGTACCAATCTTCGTCGAATACCATGTCCACGGCAACATGCCCAAGGGGTACTATTCCGATGGAATAGGTCACAGCCAGAGCAATACGAAGTACAACAGCTCAGACTCCAACACACCAAGACGCTGACACCGCGTCAAGATTGGAGCGCTGTCTTCATCTACACCTACCGATGGGATGAAGAAGATGTCAAAAGGACCAAAGATCCAATTCTTCCACGTTCCATTCCGCCAGATTCTGACAGCGATCATGACGATGCACCTTATGTACCACAAGACCATAGCATGTTCGATCCTCCATTTCCACCTACCGCCGGCTCAACTCCAGATCAACCACCACCTGGTTTACCACAGCTACCACAAGCGTCACAAGATCCATCACAGACTCCACCACAATTTCCCTCTCTACCACATGTACCACAACTGCCATTCGATCCAAATGTACTACCTCCGATTCCAGAAGCAAGCATGAACGACACCAGTTCACTCGAACTTCAACAACCACCACAGTACAATGGTGGACCACCTCCTGATCCACCGTCACCACAAGGCATCATTTCACAACCACTACAAGTACCTCAACTCCCACATTTTCCATCGCTACCAGAACTTCGTCCACATCAGCAGCCACAACAAACTCACGATGAGAGTATGACACCACAACCACAGCTACCTCCACAACACTCAACTTCATCTTTGACAAGCATGAAGCCACCTCTAGCACAACATCAACCACAGACACTACTTCCAATTTCCTCAACAACTGCGACACCAACACGGCGTACACTGCCAACACCTGCACCAGTTCAATCTCTCTCTGTACCAGCAACTCCAAAGCCTAGTGAGGTCATCATTGAGACCAATGACAACTACAAGAAGAAAGAGCTTGATCGCTCTTTTGATGAGGGAGATGCACAGAAACATCAACGCCCTGAGAAGGATGACACTGCTCCTCCTTTGCCAATTTCCTCCGATGCACCTGGCAGCTCCCATGAGAAGCAACTTCTTTCGATCCTCCTGCGAGTGACTTCTTCAGATGAACTACCTGATCCTGCCTCAGCCGCCTTGGATAATTCTGAGAGTTCTCCTGCGCCTGCCTTGGATGATTCCTCTGCGACGTTGGATTATGGCGATCGCACTGACCAGACGATTGAATATCCTGATGATCCTAACGCAGTTCATCGAGCCTTGTCGCATGCAACTCCTTTTGAAGGAGACTTAGCTTTCGAAAGTGCCTTTCAAGAGAGTAACATTTTTTCATTTTTGTGTTCCCGTTTCGGGGATAATCCGTTCTACTCCGAAACGATCTCCGAGCAGCAGCAAGCACACACCATGCTGAAGTCACTCACGCCAGAGTTCCGCGCCATGTGGAGCGATGCTGTTCCTGACTCGGAGCCACTCGTCGAATATTTGATAGATTTGAGTACTGGGGAGATCCTAAAGGTCGACGACGAAACAGCAAACTTGACTGATCAAGAGTTGATCGACTATGCGCCGGCAGTTCATCTAGCAGATTACAAGGAGCTACATCAGTTTGTTGAGCGCCATGTTTTTGCTGGTATTAAACGGTCAAGCTTGCCAAAGAATAGCAACATTGTTGACTGCGTTTGGGTTCGCAAATGGCAACAGAAACCTGTTGTGGTAAAGAGTCGCGTGTGCGCAAGGGGTTGCTTCGATCGGCAAAAGCATTTGATTGACAGACATTCCAGCACGGCCAGTAGACTTTCACAACGTTTGGTAGTTTCCATGGGCATGGTTCAGGGCCTGATATGGGGTTCCGATGTTGACACAGAGTCTCTTGATATTTCATGCGCGTTCTTGCAGGGATGGCGTTACGAAGATCTTGAGCGTTCTTGCAGGGATTGCGTTACGAAGATCTTGAGCGTTTGTCAAGACAACTTGGATTTGAACAGAAGGCCCTAAGATCGGTGTGCGTGCTTCCGCCAGAGACTGCTTGGACACACTTCAGGAACATGCCTGATGCACCGATGTCGCTGCAAATTCCGGATGCCGAAAGGGCGCAACGGTGTCTGAAGGCTTTGAAAGCAACATACGGATTTTCAGACGCTCCACTTATGTTTCAACTAGCATTGCTACAATACTTGGAGGAAGAATGTGGAGCACACGAGTCGCTGTTTGATTCAAATTTTCTCTATTGGGTTGAATTTGTTGATGAACAGTGGCAACTTACGTTGATTTTGACCGCACATGTTGATGATCTTCAGATCACAGGAAGTTCTGTCAAGCGTGCTTGGATCCATTCAAAGTTGGAACAGCGTTTTGGAACCTTGAAACGACAACGTATGCCATACACACATACGGGAATCGAATTGGAAAGGTTGCCATCAGGCACTCTTCGACTTCATCAAGGTCATTTCTGCAACAAGCTTGAGACCGCTTCCTGTTCTATGAAGGGACGCGACGAAAATGACTTCTTGGAAGGTGCCGACATCACCACCTTCAGGTCCTTGACTTGTGCAGCATTGTGGGCATGTCAGACAAACTGTCAGGAGTTGAGTTGCATCACCTCTCTTCAACAAAAGTTGACACGTCCACAGGTGATTGACTTGTTGAATGTAAATCAGGCCATAAAGCGCTTGAAAGCACCGAATCGAGAGAAATACGGAATCTATTTTGGTACATTGGTGTCACCCATTCGTGTGGTTTGTGTTTCAGATGCCTCCTCTGCAAACAAGCGCTCAAACTATGCTACCGAAGGTGTTTGCATTCTTTTAGCTGAAGACCGAGCACATCCACTCAATGCTGACAAGAATGATTTTTTTTTGGAAGGAATTCGTTCACATGGAGGCCGCATGCACTTGTTGATCTGCACTTCAACAAAATCCAAGAGAATCAGCCATAGTACCTCCCATGCCGAAACGAATGCTTGTGCAAGAGCAATTCCTGGAGCACAGCTTGTTGCGATGAGACTTGCAGAGCCAGAGATGGCAAACTATGTTTGGCCAGAGCGGTTGACACCCATGGCACTGCTTCATATCACTGACACGATGCTTCCTTGGATTAGCGCTGATGCATATGTTGATTGCATGGATTTGTTTGACCTTGCAACTGGTCAGAAGGGTGTTCCAGTTGATAAGTCCCAGAGACTTGGAGTTCTCGCCATCCGCGAGGAGAGACGGTCAGGAAGACTTCGGCGTTTTGGCCACATCACCACTCACTATATGCTCGCTGACATTCTCACCAAACATACAGGGTATGTTTCTAAATCTCTTCACGAGATGCTCACGAGTGGTCACTGGACCATTGACGGAGCCCTCCGGGTACGTGCAGGTTTTGGCATTGGTGCAAACAGTTGACAATTCAGATTACAATGTTTTCATTGTGGGTTTCAAGCAAAAGAAAGAACACGAGAGTTTGAATTTCAATACATGATGATGTTGGCTTGCTTGTAACCACGTTTCGATGCACTTCGTTCCGTTCGATCAATTTTGTTTCACGCGAATTCACATGGCTCAAGGTTGAATGAAAACAGGTGCGCATAGACCGACACGCACAAATCGAGAAGTGTACCACTTTCGAAGCCGAGAAGATTTCCATCTTCCGTTTGTAATATTTTGTACCCGACATCTAACTTTGGTAGCGGAGCTAATTGCTCCTTCGCTTCGCTCGACTCAGGTATTGCCACGCCAGCTTCTTCGTTCGTACTGGAAGCCTAGCACAGCATTCGTTTGCATCTTTGACTTTGTCTTTGGCACTTGCTCTACACTATCTCTACTACGACCACTTGAACTTCCACTTCCCTACACTTCACGAGATGGCAGATAGCTCACTATCGTCACAGCTCCCACTTCAGTCTTATAGCAAAGATGTCCCTCCTGGCTGGAAACCACGTTCGTACAGCATTGCCAAGTGGAAAGAACTCTTGGCCATTTGGTTGAGGTTGACCCGACTTGACCCAGAACAACTTGGTGCTGCTATCATCAGCCGTTTGGAAGGCCCTGCGTGGCAGACAGCCATGAACCTGGAAATAGTCCGTCAGGTGCAGCAGCCAAATGGCACCATCGTGCCGATTACTTACCGTGGCGTTGAAGCCGCATGCCTTGCAGAGACAACAGCCATCATGAATCCTGCCACTGGAGTTATGGTTGTTCCAGCCTATCCTCCTGGAGCAAAGAGCTTGGTTGATCATTTGATGACGCAGTTCTACATGAACGACCAGGATCGAGCATGGAGCTCTCTTGATGCCTTCTTTTCCACTCGCCAGCAACCTGGTGAACCTTTTGATGAGTTTTGCTCTCGCTGGGAACGTCTATTCACAGAAGCATGCACTAATGCTAATCTTCAGATCAACGCAGTTTGCCAAGGATACCTCCTCTTCTCGCAGAGCACCCTGAGTGATCAACAGATCACGGACCTGCGCCTTCGAGTTGATGGAGACCTTAGCCGCTTCAGAGAGATGGTCACCTTGCAATCTCGCCTCAGCCGAAGCCAGGAAGTGATTCGAGACCAAGCGCAAGGATACCGTCAGTTTGGAGGCCCAGGTACATACCACCTTCAGGAAAACACTCCTGAGTCAGATGATTGGTATGACTGGTGGTTTGATGATGACTATGATCCCTATCACCATGACTATGACTTGTACAATGAAGATGACTGGTGGTATACTGATGATTGGTCTCCCTGGCCTTCTGAACAGACAAATGAGGAAGCTTCAGCATATGCTCCTGCTCCAACGCCTTCCTCTCCGACTACTACCACTGAAGACTTCTATGGCGGCAAGGGCAACAAAGGAAAAGGCAAGAAAGGCAAGTCCAAACAGCCTGCAGGATCCCAGCGCACCAACTGTGGGTCCAAATTTCACCGACCTGAGGATTGTCCTATGGCACCACCATCTGTTGACAGCTCATCGATGCAGCATGCCGCCAACCATCATGATCCTTGGTCAGAGCATTGGCAAGAAGATTACTATGGCGGAAAAGGCAAGAGCTCCTATCGTCCTCGAGGCTTTGCTCCACGAGGCGTCCAGATGCCACATCGAAAAGGTAAGGGAAGAGCAAGGGCAAGAGCAAGTCCTATGGCAAGTCCTTCGGAAAGAAAGGTCGTGGAAAAGGAAAAGGTCGAAAAGGAAAGGGCTTCTATGAATACAACTGGGATGATTACGATGTTGGGTACTTCGCCTCTCCTACCACATCCGTTGAGAATCCTGTGAGCATGTCCAAGCTCAACGACGATGATGCAGTTCTCACTCTCATGGAAGGTGAATATCCATATCCTGATGAAGGTGACTCTCC